AACTAGAAAATTTCAGGTTTATATAAATTTGTAATATGTAAGTTTGATCATACAGTCCAAAAACCATTTCTACATCCATGAGGTCTTGCAAAGACTTTAGATACTTTAAAATGCTAAAAAAATCTGGAGCCTTTAGGAGAAAAAAAAGAGAGTTATAAGTGGGAAAAAAGCATATGAAGTAGATGTATACAAATATGATTCAAACCATCCACACATTAATGTTCTCTTCTATTACGAGGCTTAGCAGAAAGGAATAAATATTGAAGTACAGTATCAGTGCATGTTTCTTTCTGAAATTACTTTAAAACATTATAAATTTTGCATCAGTTTTGTTTCAATATAATGATATAATAATAACAGATCCTAAAAGTACTATACAGGTTTGTTTTCTGATCTTGTATCCTTACTTCAAATTACTCATGAAGTTCTGCTCTAATATTCTAGGAAGCATAGAAACAATTAAAATTACTCATTAATACAACACATAATAATGCAACAGTTGAGAAACTTTATGTTAAAGCTATATATGTGTGTATATACTTGTTGCCTTGTGTTCGAGGTTCATTTTCATCAAGTCATACTCAAGACATAGATAGAACAATACATGTATTATTTATATTAAAATAGGAGGGTTTTTTTCTTTAAACCTTCTTTAAAACCTGAAAATCTCAAAAGCTTCTAATTTTTCCCTCTGCAAGTTCTATAAGATTGTTTCCTGTTTCCTGCTCAACCTTATGGAATATCTTCAAATTAAAAGGAAAATAAGGTACATATATAGTTAAAAAGAAAAGAACGAAAAATCTCAGGCCATTTTTTGCCAAGACAAAAGTGACAGTAACAGAGAGATCTCCTGGGTTCTTCAAGAAGTAAAATAGTAAAATATTCACGCTCTGCTCATTTATCTGTCTTGTTCCTATATTCTTCTTGAGTAGCTATTTTGGAACCTTCACAGATCTTCATAAATTCTATCATTATATCCATGGACACAAGTCTTAGCACAGCTTTGCCAGGAGGTATTCCAGTGCTAACAAAGCAGCAAGGTTTCTCTCTCAGTAGAAGAGGTAAAATTAAAATGATTTCCACAAGCAAATATTCTGTATCAGTAACTTTGTTAATCTAGTAGCAATATACTATTATATAGTATAATATTTAGCTTTGCTAGAAAAGCAAAAACGGCATTTGCTGGTTAAAACATACAATTGTATAGAACAGACAGCTGTTACCGCAGCATATATAGCCTCAATCCTCACCTCCTGCTTGCACAGCCCTCTGTTTCCTCTGCTGTTCCAATGGTGCTGACGAATCTTGTATAACAGGGGCCTAAGAAAGAAGAAAAAGGTCACAAGAGCAAGGGGACAACTAAAAGTAGGGTTAGGGGGAGAGAGTTTCTTCCCCCTGCTTCTCGATGGGTTTTCTCAAGTCTCTCATTCTGACATCCCACTTATCTTCACATAATCTTCTCCTCTGCTCATTCCTCAATGCATTAACATCCCAAAACTTCCTAAATTCCACAGCCTGGCTAGCTTTCCCAGACTCCAGAGCACCACTGACATTTGCTAGCCTTCCCCTTATGCTTTCTTTTAGTACTCTAAACCCTTTCTGCCAGCTCTCTCAACACTGCATTTCACTGACTTGCTGTGAAAGAAACCATGAGCCAGCTCTTGATCTGACTTGCTATACAGAGCAATAAGACGCATGTTCAGTACACTGAATACTGAATACACTCAGTATTATAAAATCCTTCTGTACTGAAGTTTGAAGAAGATTTTTATTTGGTGATAAAGTTCAGTTGCATCTGTTTAATCTGACATATCTCTCTGTAGAACTCAGTTCACAGATTTATCGTGTCTGAAATACTGTGACATTTAAAAGTACCATTTTCAGAAACTTCCCAGTGAAAAGTCAACCAGATCAATATTTAAAACTGCATAGAATGCTTAATTTCAAATACTGAAACCATTAAACAGTAATCAAGTGCTGTTCAACTTAGCTCTGAGGTGTTGCGTACTTTCAGTCCTTCTTTGAGACACCAGTATTCTATTCATCAGAAGATCTTCCATCATTGTGTCTTGGAACCTGTTGTGAAGCTAAGGCTTCTTAGCTGTGGGCAGGAAGAGATAAAATTCATTAAGCCTGGTCAAATCCTGGCCATGATTAGCCCTAGAAAGAGGTAAAGGCATAAGACAGGGCCGTAACGGTTACAAGGTCCTTTTGCCTGGGAAAGGTATAGATGCGTCCTGTTGACTAAGGAGCGAAAATGTGAGACAGTGGAAATACTGTTAAGGTTCATGTCAAGAATGTATATGCTGTCTGTGAAGCTCAAGAAGAAATGAGATGCAGGTTTGTTTACCACAAAAATCTGCAAAGTATTAATCAGAAGGAGGAGAAGGGATTTTTCAAACTGTCAGCAGAAGCCTCAAAAGACAGCACCTAATGATATATGGAGTCATCAAGCCTAGTGGAAAAGCAAATGTACAGGGCACAGCAATCTTATATATCAGTAAACGAAGCACATCCAAGCATCTTCCTTTGTACCGTGGCAAAGTAGCACATAAATAAGTAAAATATCTTTGCTTAAAAATCAGTATCTGCATACAAACTGCCTGTTGGTAATGACCCCAGATGATGAACCCACCCTTCTCCCCCTAAAGTATTTGAGAAAGCGCTAGCTGGAGGGGCCAAGCTCACTCCAGGGCATAGTTTAACAGTTTGTTAGTGCAAAGGATCACACTCTAAAGGTCAGCAGTAGTCTCCGGAATGATAAAATCTCTAGTACAGGCACAGTTATTCCAGGAACTTCTTACAGAGATGAGATCTCACTTGTCCCATCCCTGCCCCAACTCCACAGCCCCCACCCCTCTTCCCAAGAAACAACCTAGAAGAAGCTACTGCTGGAGTGGCTATTTTAAATTTGTCCCACCTCTACAGAGATGAACCATAGAGAGACTAGGCATGAACTGTGAGATGTGGGTGAGGGACCTACCAAGAAGGTAATGCAACTTTTATTTCTACCCTGTGCAAAAGTATTCTAGTATTAATAAATGTACATTTATAAGACCTTCAAAAGCCTCTGAAATACGCTATTACAAAATATTACTGCTTTTTGCTATTTTTGCAGGCAGACCTAAGGCTTATACCTGAAAGTAGCTTCAAACTAAGATATAAAAATGTCAATCCAATTTTATTGCTGGGAGTAGCTTTATTTAGTTTGTTGGGAACACAGAGAAGCTCTTCAGTGTTTTTTTCCAAAGGCAGTTTCAGGCACTGTATTGTCTTACCTATTTTCATTTTATGCAAATATTTAAATTTTATTTTTTTCAGATATTATTGTACCGTAGTCAGATTAGAATGGCCCTATTACTTTTTACCTCATCATCATTCTATGATGTTCTAGCACTGTGGTTTGTGATACTGTAAAAGAAGCAGTATTTAGGATTCAGGTGATAAAAACTGGATCATCTCCAAGAGGATCCTTTTAGGCCCGTTTCATACTTACTGGCTTGTTATTCTTCAAAGGTCATTTCAGATTCAAGTAGTACTCTGTTCACATCATGTTTAACAAAAGAAGAGCAATATTAAAGTAATTCTGTTACCCTTGAAGCACCGTACAGAAACCGAGGAAGGAATGAAAAAGGAAAGGAAAAGGGAAACCAAAAATCGAAACACTGCTGAAACCTTCATTCCTAGCTTTAAAGAAAAAAAATATTATCTCAAATTCTCAACAATGACTTGCAGACAGCTTGCTTGGATTGCAATATAGCAGAAAGCACTACATGACTAAGCCATTTAAATGTGCATGTATTATTTATCTTTTCCAGTCACAGAGATTCAGCAGGTCAAATGCTTGCTTCTGAGAGCCAAAAATTAGTAAGCAAGCTTATTTATTGTAACAAGATAAAAGTTAGCTACTTTGTGTCTCAAGTTGCTAGGTAAGCAGAAAAATAGAATGCAAATTTTACCTATAACCCATGATTTTTTAATGGACTCAGTGAGACACAAATGAAGAATGCCCAGAGCTTCTCTGTGGAACTCAGATCGCTCCTTGGAGGTAACAACCTGCTAATAAAAATCTGGCTTGATTGTCTCACAAGATTCCATAGTTTTATTAACTTCAGATCCAACAAATTGCAACTGAACTCTGAAAACTAAATTAGGATTTTTTCCAGTCTTCTAATACTGCTTCAAAAGCCCTCATCTATGCCCTTGTCTACACCCAAAATGATTTCAGGTGACCCAGTCAGCTTTACAAGTCACCGATTGAAAGAACACAAGTATTCCAGAGTGCTATTCATCCAGGGTATTTTGTTCAAAGGGCATATCCTATGTTACAGGAGGGGGAAAATTACATGCAAACAGAATATATTTATTTTGTAAATGAAGTTATCACATGTGGATAGAGTTTGTATAATGCCTCATTCACTATGCTAGAGATTCCTGTTCAAGCATGCAGTGTAGAATAAAACTGCTGTCACAGAAGCAAAGGTGGGACTCATACTGTGATTATACGCAAAAGGGGCTTAAAGCCATAAGAAACACAAGAAACAATCTGAATTTCACCTCATGATATCTCCAATGACTGGACTACAAAATGTAAAGACAGGTCTGCTTTCTTCCCAGTCAGTAGTGCTTGGTGCTTCTAAACCTGAACACTTCCCTTAAAAGAATTATTTAGAGAATTTGACCCGTATTCACAAATTGTTTCAAGATGGTGCAGACAGTGATTTTCATGCTTCTTGCAGATACTGAGTCTTATACATGCTGACGCATACCTCTGCTTGCTTTTATTGTTAGAGCAAAAAAAGACATGTATACTTCTTTGAATTTCAAAATCAGAAAACAAACATTCACACCGTCCGATCTCCATAGAGAAATGTATCTCTTATTCATTCTATTCCTCCAAAGAAAAAACTATGAGGAGGTGGGGGGAAAGATGTCTGTCTGTAATGTTCTTTCTGTGTTGTGGGGTTTTGTTTTTGGTGTTTTTTGTTTGTTTGTTTTGCTTGTTTGTGTTTGTTTTGTTTTGTTTTGTTTTTTTTCTTCCTTGTATTAATGTAATTCTGATCATAATTACACCAAAGAAAAAGAAAACAAAAAGCCCCAGAATCTCAGGAGGGAGAGGATGTGTGCTTTCAAAGGTCAGAATTAAACAATTTTCACAAAACAGTATTTTAAAGAATGATATTTTAACAGCAGAAAAGATCAGCATAATGGAACTGTCAGTTCTAAAAGATGAAACAGTGAAGGAAATGGATTTGCCTCTAAAGCTCCTTTCTTGACCAGGTGTGGGGCTACCGACTGAACTGTCTGCACTTCTCAGGCTTAGGGAGCAGTGCAGTCTCTCAGAGAATGAATGCTAAGATCATTTTACTGTATAAATTCCTGTCTGAGATGCCCTGCTGGTGTATTAAATGATCACCACAGCTTTTACATCTGTACAGATTGAGAACTTTAATGAAAAAACCATGAATCACGCGAACAATTTCAATCTAATTTCCCTCTAGGTGTTACAGGCAGTAATTCTTATTGATCTTTATGGTTTTTTTTTAATCATTAAATTAACAGCATTAATCAAATGTTAGTCATTAATATTTCTCATAATACTGCAGAGAATAGCAATTCACCAATGCTACAGGCTTCTGTGATTTCATTCAGTCTCACAGACTTAATGGATGTGATTAAATTATTTTATGCAGGGTAAACATTTGAAGTGTTTCTTTTCTTGCTCCTGTCCCAACCTAAGCAAATAAACTGACTGCCAGCATCAGTCTCATGCTTCTCATGTGAAACCTATTGTGAACTTTCAAAGCCCAGTACTGTAAGAGAGAACCTGGTGTACTTCTAAATAAATTCACAGATTAATTTGCTTAATAGGTTTGAACAATTGAGGTTATGGCCCCAGTCATTTTGTCTACAAAGTATTCTGTGGGAAATTAAATGCAAGTAGAACAAAATCTTTCTTTCATTTTTCTTTCCCATTGCTTAAAATGTCTCTCCAGAATAAAGTATTTTTCCCACATCCATTTTCACTACACAAATGTTTTTTCTTTTTTGGAATTTGAAGGGAATTTCCAGGAAATAAATTGACATCACTTATAAATTGTACTTTTGTAATAAAAGGTTGGCTTTCTAGAATGAGGAAATAATCCAGCACAACTGATTGTGGCTTGGTTGCAGAACTATTTATTTAGCATTGCTTTCTTTCACATGCATCTGGTGTTGCCAAATCCCTGATGAGACTTCCGTCTGGATGTGTATGCACTGTCTGAAAATCTTCAAAGGATTATTAAAAGCCTTTACCTATCAATCCTTAAAATCCTTAACTCCTCAAAAGCCTTTTATTTTATGTCTAAATTAACTATTCAATACCATATAATCAGTCAATGACAAATCCAGGCGTGGACACCAACAGTATTTCAGGGTTTGGCTTCCTATCCTAGTATCTCAGACAACAAGCTCCTGACATGTGCATACTCACTCTCTTCACTTGTGTGCCACTGCACAGCTTTGAAATACAGAACATTTGATCTAGTTGGAGAAAGCTGAACAGCAGGCTGTTAAAGAACATATTTCAGGACTACCTCTAGGTTATGAGGAATGCACTTTTAGACTTTGGTGTCTGCTCAGATCCAACTTCTCCCACAATATTTTGAAGAAATATTAAGTGCTTCCAAGTCAGTGGTAAAAGTAACACTTTCAAAGTTACACAATATGAGCACTTCCTCAGAGTTCTCAGGCAAAAATATTTTCACTTTGTAACTTGAAATTTGTCACTCAGTTATTGCCGCATAATGCACTGCAGAATAATAGATTTTTTCTAAATCGGTTATTCAACTGAAATTTTAATTTTAAATGAGTTTATGAAAACCACATACCAGGATTCTCAGCAGCTTTTTAAACTTCAGATGTGATACAGCACATCCATTGCTGAAGACATGCTTAAAAGCAGCTAAAGATTAAAGGTGAAGTTCTGCACATCTGTATCAATAATGGGAGTTTCCAAAGGGTGCTGTGCGTTACGCTTCTGTTGATGTTGTAAAATGCATGCCCTGCTTTCAGTAACATGGATGAGATGGTGGTAACTTGCCTGCAGCTGTGGCAGAGGAATACACCACAGTGACAATTTTTCTTGTTGAGTGTTTCCAAAGGACAGTTGCTTTTTACTCCCAGATCAACCATCTGAAAGACCTCATGAAAGCAATGAGAACCCAGGACATGGTGCTAATGAGCCCTGTCCCAGATCTCTTGTGCCTCACAATGACTTCCTGTACACGTTAACTTATATGAGGGTGTGAACAACTTTACTAAGATAGGCCTGTCCTGCCTAACCAGGCTAGCAACCAGAGGATATGACAAGAGTAAAATTCTCCTTTTTGCAGAATTATTTGGTTGATTTTCTTGTTAATTCAGTTCCTAGGGATGAGAACATACTGTCACATTTATTCTTGATTAGGTTCCCTATTTTCACATCTGCCAGAGCATAGATTGGCTGAGGTCACACAAAGAATCAGCCCATGAACAGAGCCCCCAGGATGGAGCGGACAGAAATAATTTTCCAGTGTTAGATACATCTAAAGAACTGAACTAATGAGAGCAGCAAGACTCCTCCACCTGAAAAGTCTGGATGTAGACAAATGCCCTCCACCTAAGTAAACCAAAGAAGAGGAACATTCAGCAAAAACAGGTGTGGTGGAGCTGAGCTTGGTGGAGGCAAACTTGTGTTATGAAGCTGCAAATGTTCACACTAAATCGTGTTTGGTAAGCAAGTTATTACCGGCACTGATAAGAGATGTTTCCATGAGCATGCTGGCAGTGAGTGAAGACGGACAATATTGGACTTTCTCTCACAGAAAGGGAAAGCTATTGATAAGTAATGGCTGGAAAGCCAAGAGCGCTTTTTATTTTTGTCAAAACTTTCTCTAATAAGGACCTGTGAAGAGAGGGTTAGCACAGCTAATAGCAGATGCCACTTCTGACTAAAATGTTAAAGAATGGTACTTAGTGATTTTCTACTGAAATGGGCCTTATGAACTTATGACAGGGCTCTTAAAAATAGGAGCAGAAATGCTGTGAGAAAAATGAGAACTGAAGGATGTGAGGCACTGAAATCAGAGGATTACATTGAATTCTTCAAGTCAGTAGAAGTATTCAAGGGTTTCATCTAACTACATTTATGTCTGCATAACTTCAGGACTTAACCTCAAATATATAACGTAAGCTGCGCACAGGATGCACATATATAATGGCCTGTAACAACACAGAAAACTTTACACATGAATTCTGCTTTTTTGTTTTGTTTTGTTTGATTTTTATGCTTCCTCTCCTTTTAAAGTGATACAGTAAAATTTCTTTGTTACATGTAATGTAAAATTTTTGCCTGTCTTCCTAGATCTGAAAATTCTCCAAAGCCTGAGCTTGCAGTCAAAGATTTCAAGATGTGCCCATTCAAATAAAGCTGTGCAATAAAGCAAAGAAATTCCTGCAAATGAAGATCAAAATGCAATTAGTGATAGGGTTCATCTCATTAACATTTACGCATTTATAAACTAGACTTCTATAACTGCAGTAGCCTCCCTGACACCATAAACAGCTTCATTTACAATCAGTGGAGGAAAAAACCAGCATTTCTTGGGTACAAATAATCTGGCTTCTTTTACATATATCATTAGGATGAGAGGAATTCTGTTGCAGAGTTGGCCCTTGTTTTACTGTTGCTTATAAAGTGAAGGTGGAATGATTAGTATTTGTCTGATAAATGCCATCCTAAGTTTTAATGCAAAAATATTGTTGTCTGCCTGAAAATAAACAGATGCAACAACCAACTCTTTCTTCATTGTGCCAGAAGATGCATCCATGAATTTAGGCTTTTTTGTTTCAGAAGCGGCAGTAGAGTAACAAAATGAATAATCAGAGTCAGTTTATCCCACATTTTCAAAGGTAAATTCAATTAAAATTATCTGTACCAAACTCTTGTATTTTATTGTGGGATCCAGAGGCTCATATTAAATATTTGTTTCCCACTTCACCTTCATCTAGGCTGATATGAAGCAGATGCTAAAATCTGTTTCTGAACAGCTATAAGCTTTGAGAAAGTTCAGATCTGCCCTTCACTCTCATAATTTTCATGTACAGTATTATTTCTAGGATTTTGCTTAAGTGATTTCTGTGCTTTTTTTCTTGATTGTCTCAGCTCTTGGAAGAAAGATAAATAAGCCCCATATGATTTGCTTTAAACTGATAAGCATGTACTAGGATTAATTTTCCTTTCATACATTTGCTAATAAGGAGACATTAGTAATCAGAAGATAGTTCCATTAAGCATTTGATTCATACTGGATTGAGATATAGCATTACATATTTCTAGCAGCCTTGTTCAACAGATCTTAATGAAGGATTGATTTTGATGCTACCTTTAATGAATACATGAATGAAAATATTAAGTCTTACAGTAAAGCTTATCTGAGACTCAGAAAATAATTGAAAAGCTTAAGGTGACAGACTGAGACAAAACTACTCAAAAGTAATCAAGCCACTAAAAATACCAGGCTGTAAATACAGCTATCAAATATTGATTGAGTGTTTGCACAAAAGAAACAGAAGTGAATATTTGTTTCAAAATTAATAAGGACATATTCCAGAAAGATTGGTTGTTCTCCCTCACACTTTGTACATACTCAGGAGATCTCAATAAAGCCAAAAATACATCTAACAAGTACAGATGCTGCTGCTTACGTGATAACCTGTTCAACTTGGGCAGCATCTACTTTTCCTGAGTAGCTTTAGACAATGTGGAATGAGAAAAGACAATTGGAAGTGGCACCACAATTTAACTATCAAGATAGAAGTTTTTTACATAACTAAAGCAAAAATAATTAAAAATACTTTGTTTCTATGTGCTTTTGTTAGAAGACATACGGTGATTTAAGTATCAAACCTGAAAATGTCAGAGATAAGATGTATTTGCCAGCTTCAGTGAATTTTTTTCCTTCTGTAATAAAAAGTCTTGAGAAATCATACTTGCAAATTTTTCATCTGTAACTATTTCATTGTCATGTACTGTGACCTAAAAAGTTCTACTGACCTGATGGGGTTTTATCTTTCGAGGTCAAACAATGATATTGCAGCAATCCATTACGGTGAGTTGTGTAGAGAGAAAACTGTTAATAGAACTGAAATGGTCTCCTTTGCTGTGAACCAGGTAGGTCTAATCTAGCATGGCAGCAGTGAAGGAAATATCTAAGTGAAGAATCGTGAAGAATCAACTTTTACTTCCCACTTTTTTTTAACTTTTTTTCCTCCCTCCCCTTCCCCTCTTTAGCCTAATGGACCTAATGGACCTATACACTTACTGAGTCTGGAGAATAGCACAATAGACTCTGAAAACAGAGCCTTTGAAACCCTTATTTGTTACTATATGCACATAGCACTTTGGAAATCCATGCAAACATCTATTAATTTTTACAGTAAACAGTATAGAATATTTCAAGTTGGATAAAAGACAATTTATTTCTTGCTATTTGTTGATAATTTTATACTTTGTATTATCTTTCATTCTTTGTTCCCATGTCCATTTATTTCTTCTCTTGCTCTAAATAAAAGTGCAGAAAAGATGAAAATGGCTCTACTCAGATATTTGATTCCACTCAGATTGATGCTTTCAATTCTAGAAGACGAGGTCATATTGAAAACATTTTTCAACAATTGCACTGTTTCTCTCCCCCTGCCAAAGTTGAAATCTAAAGATAGTAGACTGAGTGCAGTAAGAAGCTATGTAACTTTCATATTACCCAATCTAGCAGATAAAAAGAAACCATTTTTTTTTCATTTAATGCTTCAACACATGGCTCGCCTGAATGCATGACTGTAAGAAAGTTTTATTTTCTTGTGTAGAAATGTCACATTCAGTCTCTGCCCAGTTCCACTTCATCCGGTATTTAATGAGAAAGGGAAGTAGAGCTTAGAGTTTGGCCATGAAAATCAAATAAAATGCTCACATAACTTGTAAAATAACTTGACTTCTCCTGGTGAAATCAGAAAACTTTTAATGAGAAGGAAAAAAAAAAGATATTTTTTTTTTTGAGAATCACCATCCAGCAGCCTATGCTTACTGCTGACACTGCTGTAACAGCAGAGACCTTGAAGGTCCCCAGACCCTTCAATCTGAACACATTGGCTGTCCCTGCCTCTACCCATCCTTTAGCCTTAGTTCACACCTTTTCATGAAAATATAGTACGAGTTCTTATGTAGTACTGTAATCATTTCTAGTCACTTTCTTTCCCATCCTGCTTTGAAGATGGGCATGGATGGGTTATACAATTCAATGCTGCAAAGAGGTTTTAATGGCACTGAGTCCTCATTCTCGTATCTGAACCTGTCATCCTGCTGTTTTTGTTTCTTCCCTCCTTCAAGCTCTCTGTTTTGTTTACTTTAAAAAAGTAGTCGTTGTATTTAATACTTTTGTTTTGCCAGGACTGGCATGCTTACTGAGGCTCCTAGTATGTGCTATTTTTAAGAATGAAAGGTGACAATAGCTTTCTTTGTTAGTACAATGACAGTCTTCTTTTTCCACTTCCTCTGGGAACTCTCTAGTTGGGATTTCAGGTATCTTCTAATCTATGTCACCATTCCCCACCCACCTCTGCTTGCTCAACTGAGCTTTCACACATTTCAGGCAAAGTCCAGTTCTTTGAGAACTTCCTAAACTCTCTACCTTTGTTTTCCTTTGATACGCTGAAATAGCTTGAAAGTTATTAATGTATGCCTGATGGGGTTTTAGTTTATGGGTTTCATTGTTCTGTTTCTCTGTCATTGGTAAAAGAGAAATGTCCCCAGCTTAAAAATACTATCCGTATTACTCTCATGACAAATTTAATCTATGGTTATGTGGGTTTCTTATTTGACCTAGCACAGCTGCCTGGCATGCTTGTTGTTAAAGGCACACAGAATTTAAGATAATTGCAAGGCATCTGCTCTTTCTCCACACAGCTCCAGATGCCTGTTCCTTATAATAAGATCTTTTTGCAGTCTAATGAGACATTCTGGTAGTTCAGCCCAGTTTTAATTTAAGACCCAGTCTTAAATAAAATCATCCAAAAAAAACCTTCCAAGTCAAAACTGAAAAATTATACAAAAAAGTTAAGAAGAATGTAACTATGAACTGGCTACAAATACTAACCATCTGTTCACTGATACTGCTCACATACTCTGTGAACTGTTCTACAAGGATACATGAAAGACTTGGCCTTTTGGGTCAATAGTATCTCTGGATTAAGAGCATCGGATTCATTTGGTCTGTGTATTGGGATCTTGTACAGGGGCAAAGCCCTGCATCTGGGAAGAAATAATCCCAGGTACTAGTACAGGCCAGGAAGAACTGTATAGAAGACAGCTCTGTAGAAGAAGGGGTGCTGATAGGCAACAAGTTGAATGTGAACAGCACCCTGGGCTGCATTATTAGGAGTGTGGCCAGTAAGCCAAGGGAAGTGTTTCCCTCCCCATCTGCTCAGCCCTTCTGAAACCCTTTCCCAGTACCATGCAGAGCTTTGCACTCCTGAGGACAAGAAAGAAACTGACAAGCTTGAGTGCATCCAGCAGAGAGCCACCAGGATGGTGAGAGGAACAGCACACATGGTAGAAGGAGAGAGGCTGAGAGAACTGGGCTGGTTCAAACTGGAGAAGACTGAGAGGGACATCCCTCCTGTCTCCAACTACCTGGTAACTACTGGGAGATTACAGAGATGGTGGAGCCCTTTCAAAGGTGCACAATAATAGGATTGTATTAATAGGATTGAGAGGTAATGGATACAAGCTGGAAGGTGGGGAATTTTGATTAGAGACAGGAAAAAGAGTTTCACTTTAGTGAAATAATAAATTGAAAATAAGTTGTCCAGAAATGCTGAGAAATCTTCATCCTTCATACTAAAAAATCAGCTGGTGCCAGAGCAACCTGGCCTCCTATCCTGAATGATGCTGTGGCTGTGCATCTCAGATACTGCAGAAGTAAGGCCCTATGGTGAGCTCCCATATTGCTCTCCAGGGGATTTAGAAGGCACTATACCTGTTAGTCTGTAGCATATGTATCTCAAGTGATGACCTGATATGACCAGGAAAGAACACCCTGTGACATCCACTGCTTTTTATGAGCATTGCTTTCAACATGGGAATTCTATGCCTCATTTTCACAGTATAAAATTACACTGGTTGTTAGTTTTCCCTGTCTTTTATGTCTTTTATTGTACTACAAGTCTTCTGTGTTTCCAAAAATAGTTTAGAAAACTCTAAAAATATCTTGGCCAGCTAAATGAAAAAAAAAAAAAAAAGTCCATTCAATTCTACAGCCATGCTGAGAAATATAAATCTCAGTTGTAACTCTTCTAAACTTTAACTGAAATTTTAACTCTTCATTTCTTTGAGTAAACTCACTTCTGAGGTACTTTAATATGGATTCCATAAGTTCACTGTTATTTTGTTGGGTATTTTCTTTTCCTGTATTGTTTGGGGATGGGTGGGTGTTTTTCTCTCTTGTTTGTTTGTTTGGCCTAGTCTGTGTTTTTTAGACAGGAATATTAGACTAAAATTTAGGAAGTCAGATGTGCTTAAGGATTAGAAATAACAGCAGTGAGATAAATGTGCATTGTCAAAAGATAATGGTTAAAACCTTAACTGCTGGCACTAATCAATGTCAGGATGATTAGGAGCTACTGATACACTAATAATGAAAAATGTAAATGAGATCATATTATGCACATATGAGGTACTGTCAGTAGAGATGGATGATTATCAATGGCTTTATTAAGTAGATTCGGAAGAATCTACATCAAAATGGTGAAGGAGATTGTTGAATTTAGATAAAGAAAACCAGAGGGAACCTGATTCTATGTGAAGTGGAAAGATGCTATCAGAAGTTGGAAGGAAACTGTTTAAAAGGCCCCATTTGCAACAAAGATGAGTATAATTTTAATCTGGAAATAACAGTGAAGTTTCTAGCTTTGGAAGGAGTGAGATTGCAGAACAGCTATCCAGGAGGAACACACAAAACCTGTGTGAATATCAATACAACATGTAAAGAGATTTATTGGGATTTGCTAACTCTAGAAATTACTTTAAAAATTAACTAAAACAATTCAGGGAAGGTCCTTAGTCAAGCTCTCAATGCTAGGACATTTCAAAATCAAACCTGCCTGCCTCTGCAAAATTTATATTGCCCTTTCCCATATGTGTAATTTCCCCAGCACTCTTGCTCAACACACAGGCACTGGGATGTCAAGCGGTGTATGAAGCTGGACACGTAGAAAGAAAAGCTACATGAGGAAGATAGTAACCAAGTAACCAGATATGGCTGTACAGAATGGGATCCTCCTCTGTTGTCTATCAGAGGAGTTTGACATGTTGCTGTTTCTAGGATGGCTCACAGCACTCTCTTTAGTTCTCCCTCTGAAGAACACAAGAAAAATCTTCTTTCTACTGACATAAAACAAATCTCTGTGCTGACACTAGAACACCTTTCACTAACTGAAATCTAAACAGGCAAATGGTGGCCTTTGTTTTAAATTAAAGAAACAGTTATTGACTCACAAAGCAACTGACCTTACTAAATTAAGGATGTTAAAATGATATCTCTTTTTCTATGTTCATGCCATACAAGATTCTAACAAATTTGATAAGAATTATAAGGGGATTTAGGGTGATTTCAGGTGTCTATTTTACTTCCTGATCTTTATATATGAACCATCGCTATCTTCTGATTGTCTGTTTGCATGCAAGAGAGCTCATAAAACATCTTCAGTGAGAATTAATTAAAATTAATGCAATTTTAGGTCAGCTTCTTTCTTTTCTGTTTTTAAAGGTATATTTCAAAAGGACACCGTCAGCCTAACCTGCCAGCCACAACTGACTGTGCTATGTCAGGAATGTTTGCAGAAGCAAGTCTTACATTAATTCTTGTATCACAATGATCCAGATGGAGCAAGATTACTGGGGTCCAGTCCTAGAAATGTTGCCACAGGTTGGGCGATTTCGATAACTTTAAAATATCATTAACATTTCAAGATAAATTATTAATAAAGAAACAAACAAACTAATGTTTGCTCTTCAGGTTGCTTCTACAACATTTTGTGCTTTTATTCTGCAGTGCCAAAAGAAGGGGCATAAGTTAATTAACAACTGTTTTACTAGAGTCCCACTGACATCACTGATGATGCACATTCAAAGTAAAGAGTGAATGTGTCTGGATTGCTTCTGATGTAGTTCTTTTCTGAACTGCTGGCAGAATATTTAAAACCCATCAAAATGTACTTTGCTCTTTGTCAACAAACTCACATCTTTTAAAAGAGTCTAACCTCCAGGTAGACACCGTATTTGGCCATTTTGAACTGAGAAAGAAATTGAAAGAAAGCTGTGAATATGCAAAATGAATAGTTTCATAGAAATTGATTGGCATCCTGAACAATAATTGTAAACAAACAGCTGACAGAATCCCATAAAATGGCCCATCTGAGATTGTGAGATTCATTTGTAAAAGAACTCAGCTTCTGAATCAGAATGTAAGAACTATGAAAGGGTTTTATGAACCTCTGCCAAATTATCAACATATGTTCTAAGAAAAAACATGGCATTTGCTTAAGAAAAGTAAAATAGTCTTTTGACTTCTCATTTAAAACTATGGCATTATTCCTGAAATAATGCTTCACATTCTCCATCTGCCTTTTTTCCTACTATTTATTACTGGTATTATTTACTAATACTGAATTGCAATTTACTTGATCCAGGATTTAGAAATATGAGAAGATGCAGTTAGGAATCCTGCCCACTCTAAATTTTGCAAAATACAATTTATGTAATTTCTATGCAAATACTAATGAGGATTAGGAAAGATCTATTGTTAAACTGTAAACAATTATGAAGTGCTGTTAATTGTTCCTACTTAAGTTTGATGCTGAACAGAATACTGAGATTTACAGAACCTAAACACTCCTTTTCTGGCTACCAAAGCTCAGTGCTTTACCTCCAACACTGATGGTACACAGTGCTTAGAGAGGCAGTACAAGGAACTCTGGCAGACAGTACTGGAGCTCACTCAGAACGACTGAAAAGGTTGGTACATCCTGGTTCAAATCAGCACAGGCATGATGGTGCCAAAATAAAATCAACATCAAGTTGTGGAGTATCATCAAAGTAAACCTTTAATATTACAAGTTCTTTATATTACAGTTAAGAAACTGTTCCTTACTGTTTGCTGCTAAATTAAGGTGTAGCTTCATTCCAAAGTACCTTTGGTGGAATCAATATTCTGTTTAATCTTAAATCAGCAGAAAGATCAAACAAAAGAAACTAAGTTCAGAATTATTTGGCATGAAATGTATGAAAAGTGACCACAGAAATTTCTCCAGTCACAGCAACTTTGGCAAAATGTTCTCATAAATTCTCACAGTGTATTAAAACTTTGTAAGCAAAGCATTAAGAAATACGAGTATAAATAAGGCAAACAATTAGACAAGGAAAAAGTCTAAAAAGCTGAGATATGTGGTCTAACTTGCTAAAAAACATCCTCAAACAGATACTGGGAATAGCTGCACATGAAGAACACGTCTTCTGGAGTACCAGTGTACTTCATGCCTTTTAAAGCACTTTGTTAATTCAGAGATGGCAGGCGTCATCATCAGATGTCACTAGCAAAAGTGTAGAATAGATGACCTTGACAAATACTAATCAATGTGAATTAAAATTCAAAACTGCACAGTGTGAAGATAGTTGGGGGGGGGGCGGGCAAAGAAGGAAATCTTCATCTCCCTGTATTCACCACTGAGACTGAGCTGGTTGTCTAGGCTCTCTATGTTATCAATAGAAAGAGAGTTAAAGGCACACCCAGGGGGTGATTTATCTCAGATATAACTGAATGTGCCTTTTGAAATGCCTCTTCCTCTTCCTGCATTGACTGTAGAGAGTGTTTAGGTGATTTATACCTGACACCCAGCATTTAGACAACTAAAGTCAAACAAGATGAATTCTACCCTGGGGACAGAAAAAAGGTCCACTGTAACTTAGGAGTTCATCAGTTTTAATTGACTGAGGAGAAAGACTGAGCATACTAGTAATTCACAGAATGACTCTAAGCCACCAGCGTGCTTCAGGCATGAAAGACAAATGGGATCCTATGATGTGTCATATAAGAAAGTTTCCACAGATAGAGAAGTAATAATACCACTATATAAAGATGGGTCAGATCTCATCTGGAATTTGATGTACAAGCATCAATGACAAAAAAAGAACTATTTAAATATTACAACTAGCCTTTTATCCTAGGCTTTGGTTAGAAATTAAAGCCAGGTCCCAAAACCTTACATCAGTGATGTTCTGGAACAGCTGTCTACAAAAAAAAACACTATCAAAACCGCAGGTGCTTTCAAGAGGAGTCTTGATTCTGCCTTTCTGCATTGAGAAGAAACAATTACACTCAGTGAGAAGAAGGCAGATTTCAATCCAGAGGTCCTGTGGACATCAGAGGTATAAGCAGTACAAAGTATTCTGCAAGGAAAAAGACTCCCAATGTGTTTGTGATTAACTTGTGAAGTACAAATAAGAACATTCAGGAAGAATAATGTAATTTGAAATAAGATTCCTTTTCAACAAGCTTTGCAAATAAAAAGGCATTCTCATGAATTTCAAAAGCAGGGAAGGAAAAATAAAAGATTAGGAAATAAAAAAAAAACCACCAAAACATAGACAAGAGTATCTTCAGATATTCTGAAGTAGGTAAGTCAGCTACACAAAATTAAGTTTCTTTCGACAATTTTTACTCATAATACTACAGTTGTTAAAGGAGCCCTCAAACCTACACTGACTGTACTGATGCATTGTTTTACATGCAGGACAAGCCTTTGTGTAGAATCAGGGTTGTTTTTTTTTATCATGCAGTAGTTAATTTACTCATTTATGTGGTCTTTCATACAGCAAGAGAAAGGAGAGAAAATATCAAATTTTCTGTTTGTTTGAAATCAGTAAGGCTGGCAGGAGAAATTCACTCAGGAGGAAGAACAGCACCATTTGAAATGACTTTATAAAATGTGAAAAAGGATTTAATTTGTAATCTCACCTTTATGCCACAAGCACATCCACATGGGCTGAGCAGGCTGCCTCCGCAGAGACACTTCCCTTGTCCAAGGCTCCTCATGACATTCTTGAGTTTCAGTGGAAGTCCCTGAACCTTTCCACCAGATGCAACTTTCTCCTTCTGGAGGGAATGCTGGCAGGAATCTCCACAGAAGTGCCTCCAAAGGCAAAGGTCGGGTTTTTTTCAGACACTGTATTTTACCTGAAGTTCAATCAGTGTACAAGTGAAGCAGCTGAAAGGCACGTCCTTGTTTGTTCTGGTGAATACTTATCCTTCCTGACTCCTCAAGGCATACTTTGCTGCCTTACTCTCGTAGTTCTTCCATATATTTAAAGAAGATTTTCTTTTTAGATTCTGACTCAGTGATTTAAAGAGAAGATGCTGCAGTAAACATTTTCTAAAGAAGGCAGGAACTGCTTTTAAAAGCAAACCCCGTGAAGCATCCTTTATGAGAAACATACCCAATGCATCTCTTTTTAAGGCATGGCTTTCAAGCATAAAAAAGTTAACAATTAAAGGGAGGAGGAATAAAATAGGAAATAGCAAAGTCTGGTGGGTGAAAAACTGTAAAACAAGAAGTATTGAATATAAATATCTTCAATGTATGAAAGAAAATTGAAATCACAGTTATAAAAAGCAATAATTTAGTATGATAAATAGCTTGTAATTAAGTATCTAACCCAAGTAGTGTCCTCCATAGGTAGCTATGTTTGTAGACATTTGTTGAAACTGAAGTAAGTTATAAGGTACATCTGGCTGCCTCAGGCAGTGATGGTTCAGCATTATTAAGGAGAATATCAGCTGTACAATTGACTGTACAACATTTGTGCCTATAATTTATTTGCTTGTAGAAATGACCTGTAGCAGAAGACCTAAAATAAGTATTGAATAGGACTGGAAAGCTTTAAAGCTTTCCACTGAAACATGGTGATTTTGGGCTAGAACTCGAAGCACAAGCAGTTCTTCTGCTCTTACTGCAGAAAGCAGTTGAAGATAAGATGGAGAAGTATGCATGTGTCTAGGTACTAAGAGAAGTTTGATGTTGGGTTGTTCTTTCTGAAGGTCGTTGGTTCTCTGGGCTGTCCATGAGGATTCAAGAGGTACCAGAAATTGCAGAGAGAATGACAAGATGATCGGTCTCAGCAAAACTTCAGACTGGGAAATTCTTCAGGCATCCATGACCTCTGCATTGTTGACTCAGGGGCAGAACAGATCCTCAGCTGCACCTGTGGCCACTTCACAGGCAATGAAAAAAACAAAGTACAACTATATCCTTTGGCATCTCTTTCAGAAAACCAGTCCTGGCCATCTGGAAAATGGGATTCCCATGAGGCAGTGCTAAGATCATGTCCTTCCATGCACACTGGGAGACTTCCTAATATAAGGAACTCAACAGTTCTACTGAAACCAAAGCCTGGAGTGCTGGCTGGCTTAAGTCTTCAGGTTGTCACTATTAACATCTCAATACACCACTTTCAAACCTGTCCTACAAACAAACTTGCAGTTTAGCACAAGAAAGAAACCTATTTCAAGGGTAAAGCTATTGATGACATTTACTGTCACCCCATGTTATCATTTTAAAGGCATTGGCAATATGGAATAATCTTGCAGTACACTGCCGAAAAGGTTTTAGAAGACATCTTTTGTCTCCAAAGAGCTACTTAAAAACCACTGTAAAACACATTTTGTAACATGTCAAGTGTCTCCTGTATATCAAATAATGATAAAAATATTTTTTATAATTATTGTTAGCAGTTCTCTGCAAATTCTGTATTAGAGGCAACTATCTTCTTTTGGCCCTTTGTTCAATTCCATCTTTGTTGATACAGACTGCTGTCCCATTATCCTTCAATGGTAATTCACACGTAAAACAGAGATTGGCCATTGAGAAAGAAACATAACTTACCAGTAATTAGTCTTCTTTATAAAGCATGGTCTATAAATAAATCTGTCCTACGCCTTATCACTCCAGCATGCAGAGATTTTCCTTTTGCGGTTATCATGAAGGATGTATTCACACTGTTGTCATCACCTTTGGCACAAAGGCATAAAAAACACAGCATGCCATAAAACATTTTAATTATTTCTCAGCCAGAGACACCATCTAAAACACTGAAGGAAACCCTGCTAATATAGCTCAGGATGTCTTTTTTCATTCTCAAATTAATATCCATGTTTGTTTACATGGTGTGACTTTACCCAACTACGTGTCATAAGCTATCTAGCAGAGGTTCTTGATACCTCTCATGGAAACAGCACTTCTAGATGACTCTAGCAAGTGCTGTGGCAGCTCTTGAGGTAGCTCATCAGGGATGGCACAATGCTTGGGGAAAGAATAGTAGATATATAGCAGTTCAGTTGCTCAACAGTCTCACACAAGCTGTACATGCAGTTGGAAGTTATCAATTCCTAAGTTTTATAGCAAATACTGAAATACAAACCATCCATCTAGATAACCACTGGATCTGTCACAGATATACATAGTCTATATGTTCTGAGAAAGTCTAGACTACAAATGTAAAGGGAGCTGTTTTGCTATTAAAGATACAAAATAAGGCATGTTTCTTAGAAACACAAGGAATATGAAGAAAAACAAACAAATCAAAGCAACATTAAGATACCACCTTCCGCAAAAATGATGGCTGCATCTTAAGAGCCGGTCTGTCTTTGAAGATTAAGGTCAAAGAAGGAATCACAGGGGTATGAATTTTTCTCATTTTTCTAACAGAGAAGATGACAACAAAGAGAGACACATCTTTTGAAGAAGAAGAATCCATCCATGAGAACATGGAACACCAAATTCAGATTCCCATAACTCATTTGCCTGGTTGAGGGAAAGATTTTGATACTATTAGACTCAAGGTTGAGTTGCCTGAGACGGATGTTAGACTTCAGTAAGGGTAAGGGACTTAGAATGAAGGACCAGATTGCTTCCTTTTGAGCAGGTAACTCAGAACAGTCTGAATAGACAGGATGGGGAAGAAGAACAACAAACACATCAACCCAAAAGCCTAACCTAGTTAATAACATACATTCACTGCCATTACTTATAAGGCTGTCTCTGACAAGAGAGAGAAAGGAGTGCTGAAAGAGTGAGCCTTCCTGCATCTGCAGCATGGAGAAAAGCATTTAAAAACACAGAGATCATCCACATTCTGGCCCACATTCTGCAATAAGTACAGCAGAAGCCTCTGAGAAAGGGAGGGGGTCCTGATACTAAAAGAATGCCCCACCACTGCAGATGCTTATCTTTCATCCTGTCTTGCCTTGGTTGAAAAAGGGGACACAGGGCCTGGAGAATAACCTTTAACCACACTTATCAGGGAATTGTCCAAGAGGCAGATTGCTGAACTTCTCTCATGAAAGCATTGAAGACATATGAATGAGTGTTCAAGAAAGAATGAAATTAGTGCTGTGGGGGCCAGACTTTTTCTCAGTTGATATATCAGTGCATTCCTGATAGACTGTCACGGTTTTAACCCCAGCCAGCAACTAAACACGAGGCAGTCACTTGCTCACACTCTTCCCCCATGGGATGGGGAGGAGACTCAGAAGGAAATTAACCCTATCCCAGCTGAAACCAGGACACATCCACTGGCAGAACTCAGACAAACTTTTTGAGAAAATTGGGCAGGGCCTGGCAGGTGGACTACTAAGAAATGAGTGTAGCTCTCTGTGACCCTCTGTTAAGGGCTAATCACATTCTGGAAGAGAGAAAGAAAAACCATTCAGGTTTTTGTTTTTTTTTGTTTTCCAGGTCAACAAGTTTAAAAAAGGATAGTTGAGTGGTGAAGTCCTCACTTGAGTGAACACCTTCAGATGTGATGGAAAGCCTTGCATGAAGTTCAGATGAAGTGGAACTCTGATACTGATGTGAAGCTCTCAGTCCTTTGCCCAGTCCCTCTTTGATCCTGTTGCCCAAACGGACGGCCAAACCCAGAGGGAACAAATCTAATGCTACTTCTTAGAAAGGTAGAGAAAATAAGATTTATTCCCCAGCAGAAAGTGCCTTGATGCTGCCACCACAAAAAAGTTCTCATACTTAAGGAACAGCAGTGCTGATTTAGGGACTTTGTCTACGCAGTAATCCTTTGATCACTTAGATTGAGAGGTCCTGCCTTCATCTTGTCATAATAGAAAGGGTAGGGAGAAGAACAGAAGTCTTAGGAAAACCATTTCTGGTTGCATCATAATTCCAACTTAGCCAATGTTAGCATTTTGTGGGTTTGGCCTCAACATATGAGAAGAGGCTTTCTTTGCTTCTTAAGCTACTATCCAAGCTCCTGATGCCCTCCCATTTCACTTTTAAAAGTATGGCAAAGGGATCACACAGGAGTATGCCTTATTCCGAAGCAGTAAAGGCATCTCTTATACATGTGACAAGATATATTTCAAATCTAAATACAATTAACTTTAATTGGATTTCAATGAAGTCATAGTTGTCTCTCAGATATAAACTATGTAAGTGACAGAGTTACTCAGGAGCCCATTTCTCAGCCTCAAATAATACGCTAGTGTGAATATTACATATCTGTAGTGAGCAGTGAGGACATCACAGAGCATTCTGCATCTTCCAGTTATCATGAATTGTTGGAGTTGCAGTTAAATAGAAGGAAAATAAATATAGGTATGCAACTTTGTGTCTTAATTTCAAAATGGCAAACTTTGCCAAATGTTATTTTAGAAAATGGCCTGAACTCAGGGACTTAAAAGATGAAGATGCCTGTCATTCTATCGAGTTAAAAAATCACTAAACACACAGTGTATATACCAAAAATGTTTAAAAGTATAGTATATTCCACATGACAGTATCTTTTTTAGTGTTTCTTTACTGATGTAGTGCAAGAAGTAGGTACACAGTGATGACATTTCCTGAGGACACAAAGGTGAGACATACAAGTAATGCAGGAATAAATTAGGATTCCACATAGGAAGACAAGGACACCTTAATGCTGAAGATTAACAGAAATAGGTTACAATCCAGTAGCAAATGATGTGCAAGGTCATACACTTCAGAATTATGAACAGTTATCTCTATTATCATCTAGGGATCTCCTTAGCTGGTCAGGACATGCAGAATCATAGAATTATAGAATCATTTGGGTTGGAAGGTCATCTAATCCAACCTCCCTGCAATGAGCAGGGACATCTTCAATTAGATCAGGTTTCTCAGAGCCACATCCAGCCTGGCCTTGAATGTTTCCAGGGATGAAGCACCCACCACCTCTCTGGGCAACCTGTGCCAGTGTTTCAGTACCGTCATTGTAAAAGATTTCTTCCTTGTATCTAGTCTTAATCTACCCTCTTTCAGTTTAAACCCATTACCTATCATGACAGGACCTGCTAAGAAGTCTGTCCCCAGCCTTCTTATAAGCTCCCTTCAACTACTGAAAGGCTTCAATAAGGGTCTCCTTGGAGCCCACAAGAAAGATGAAAATACTTACTGACAAAGAATGATTGTGAGACACCTACATAATATACCTGTGAATACATGTGATTCTGATTTCCACCAGCTGTGCCATTGTACAAAGTCCTCAGAAGGCAGCATTTAAAAGCCTGCATATAATTTTGTGTATAAAGATCACATAAGAAGACTTTCACAGGGTACTGGATGGCTATATCTGAAATCCTGGAGGTAAAGAGAAGTTGCCTCCTAAGTGGTGACTTGGAGAGCTTGGCTAGATGATCCTATTAATCAAAACTGAGACAGGAACATGGAGATGGCTTATGAAGTCACACCGGTGAGTCCAGTGGAGGATCACCTTGCCGGTCCAGGGCTGGATCTCATGATATACAAGGAAAGTCTGAAGGAACTGGTTTTATTCAGCTTGGAGGAGAGAAGACTCAGAGGAGATGTTATTGCAGTACCTGGTATTCTACCTGGTGGAGGATACCAGGGAAAAGAGTTCAACTCTTATAAAGAATGCAGAGTGATATGATGAAAGAAAATGGGCGTTGCTGGAAAATCAAATATTCTGGTTACAGACATAAAGAATTTTTAGTTTTTAACCATAACTGTCAAATATTGTAACATATTTGTGCCAAGAGAGGTTGTGGGACCTCCATCCCTGGAGAGTGCTCAAGACTCAACTTGAAACAGCCCTGATCAGCCTGATCTGAATAGATCTGCTTTGAGCAAGGGTTAGACTAGATGAACTCCTTACAACCCAAATTATTCTATGATTCTATAAAAATGCATCAAAAAGCAGAGGAAAAATACCCCACTAGTTAAACCTAAAAAATACTGCCACAAAACCAGACCATAGTGAACGTTAGGAAGCAAAGTGAGTAGGTTTATAGTCAGGAAAGTTCTTAAACAGTACGGACAACAAAAATACACTTACCTTTGAAATAAAATTAGATCAATTTTTGAAATGGAGTGGAATGAAAAGGACTGGACTAGCAACCCTGAAAGTGTCACGTCCATATGATCTATGTTGATGTTTAGTTGTAACATTCCTTCTTCTGAAACTTGGTATTTATAAATCACTGCCAACATTTTAACATAAACTCACAAAACAGTCAAGGAATACATACCCGTACAACAGTTCAGCTTGTTTCTTCCCCAGTATGACGTGCGTGAAAACCACAGCAAGAATTTCACTGTTACTTGCAGCAAAAGAGCAGCACACACAACCCCACTCTCTGGGCTGTTGGAGTGACAGCACTGAGTGTGAGCACCACATGGTATGGGCTGTTGTCACCCACCACCAGAGTAATTCAGCCTGCAGCGTAGCTTGGAGCTGCCCTCAAGAGTGGATCCACATGCTAACTGCTTGGGAAACCAGATTTTTCTCCTACAAGCAACAGATTAAGCTTCTGATACTGTTTCTGAAGATGTTTCTCTGAAGTTGGAGGAAAGAGCACAACTTGTTTTCATAGTGAAGTGCTTCACTCTACGCAAGAAAATATTTCCTGGCAAAAACTTAATTTTGTTTGTTTAGTCTTTCTAGCTCAGCACAGGAAGCGTCACACCTGCTTCAACTGAATGGGTAAGTTCTCAAAACAGAGCAGTTATACTCTTTGCATGTGACATTATGAGAGACTGATAAAAATTACCTACATCAGTTTGCAGAAGGGTATTCTGCACTTTCCACAAGGGCTGCTGCTCCTTGGTGACTGAAAAGTTTAGATGTGCTTGTGAGAGCCTATCTGCCAGGTAAAACAGAGAGCTATTGCTTTGGCTCTCAAACACAAGACTACTAAATGTTTTCCAGAAAGGTTCAGATGGGAAAGATTATTCACAAATCGCCTTTGTCATCACTCAGAGAAGAACTGTCTCTAGCTGGAAATATTTCAGAGATATTTATTGTATTCTGAAAACTTCATTTTATTTCTAACTTATTTACAGTTAAACATTCAGAATCATAAAATATGAAGTATAAAATATTTAACAAAATAGATGCAGTTCATGTTGTTCAGATGCACCATAGGTATATGATGAAACAGTAAACAGCACAGTAATCTCCTGATGGTCCTCTCATTTAGCAGGGAAAGGAGTTTGTAGACCTGCCCTATGTATTTCGGTCTGGCCAGTATGGCATCAATCAGTTCAGAAAGAACACCACCACCACTCTGGTTTCTGTGTCCTCATACTTCCACAGTTACCCTCACTATCTAAAATGCCAGTACTAATGTTAAATACAGCAGATACCCTCTGAAGTTGGTATTTTTTATACTTTTTTTTTTTTTTTTTAAATACAGAATTTCCTAGAAAAGAAGAATCAGGTAATTCAGACCATATGAACAAAAGAGTCATTTATTATATATATATTCTCTAGTAAGTTATAATAGTCTCTTGGATTTTAAGTGTCTTTTTGCTATTTTCAATGCTTAAAAATTATAATTTTAAAACATTAAATATTGTGTTATATACATTATGATTTAATTTCTCATTTCTAAACATGGAGCATTCTCCAAGTGAAAACTTGGATGAAACAGAAAACAACTTCATTGACATAACAGGCTTTAAAAGTTCACTTCATACAACCATGAATTTGACTATATGAAAAATAGTCAAACATCAATCTGCTCCTATGTGGGATTTTTTTCTGCTTGTTTTTCTGGTCTTGGGGAGAGGGTTTTTTGGCTTTTGTTTTTGTATAAACGGAAGGACAGATCTGGTCATTACTTTTGTCAGTGTTTAGTATTTTAACTTTCTTTTTAAATCTCATATCTATTTTATATAAAATAACAAAATATACAGAGAAAGCTGAGTTTGTTACATTAGTTCATACACATACAGTAAATAAAAGTTTTTTATGTATGGCTTTGCAAAGGTAGATTATGAAGTGACATTTGTATTTTATTTGTTTAAAAGCATCTTAAGAGAACGTGTTAGTGTGCTTACAATAGCGGCCATGGTAGTCGAATGTCGAGCCAAGAGTTTAATGCTAGGATCACTGGAGGTCTTGCCTGACACTGCTTCTGCAGCCTTTAGAAGACAAATGTAGTTTATTACAACCTCATCTATCTTAGCTATAATTTCCTGCTGCTGTGTTTCAGAGTTCATGACTTTAACTAAACGCATGCAGGCTTCTGTTAAGCAACAGAGTACTTGAAAGCTGGAAGTCATAGCTAAAAGCATTTCCTCAGGGCTTTTATCAGCCATGGCCATTTTCCTGCAGGCACTTCCCAACTGTCTCGATTCCATAGATAACAGTTGTTTGTACTTAGAAAGTTTAAGGTCATATGTTTCTGGATGTAAATCTTCCCTCTTGCCCATACTTTCTCGGACCAATGAGAGTAGCTCATTGGCATCCTTTTGTGCTGCAATAAATCCATCAGGCATTGCATACGTCTTGTCTCTCATCACATTTATTCGTGTGATTCGTGCATCGAAGGCCACATCACTGAGATTCACATCAATTTGGCCACCTTGGATGTCAGCACTGCTCTCCTCATGTGCATTAACTGGCACGTCTTGTGGGGGCTCAGCAGCCTGCAGGGACTCCAAGGCTTTCTGATCATTTTCTCTAGAAAATGACTGACCAACTGGTTCTGTGAGCTCACATGGGATCTGCTGTTCAAAGAGACATGAGAGCTGATGGCTGTCTTGGTCATCTTCATCATCGTTGTCATCGTTTCCCTTGCTTAGGAAACAATAGCTAAAGGGGCCACGACACCTCCAGGCACTGGTGTCCAGCTTCCGCAAGGGTAACGTTCGACACTGCTTAGAGTCCTTCTGACTGGTGCCTGTGCCTGAACACCTCTTACTGTCCTTCCTATCAGTGCTGACATATACACAACTCTGGGAATAACTTTTTGACAGCTTTTTGCCCAGGGAGAGTTCCACACTTCTCCCTGATTTGGATTCGTCCCTTCGGGTGATGTCCAGGCATTTCAAGCTGTCTGTGGCTGCCTTCTTTTCAAACAGCATCTCAACACTTGCAGATGCTCCAATGATGCTGCTGCTGCGTCTCAGCACTTTCCTGTTGTGCGGCATCCTGAGGCTTCCTCCTATCATGTCATATGGCCGTAAACTAACTGTTGCTCCACAAGACTGATTTACTTTGGGAATATCACAAGAGTCTTGATTTTGACTTGGCACCTTTGATTCTGATAGCATGGATGATAGCATGATGGAGTCAGCTAGAGGCTGTCTAGGAAAAGCTGTAGGCATGCCTCCTTGTCTTCCCTTCTCAGGCTCTGTGAAAGCTACACTAGGGGTAGTAGAAGAGCAGACAGAATAATTAAGCATCATCCTGACAATATTCAGAAACTGAGTTTTAAATATCTTTAATAGTCAAGACAAATGGATTCCTGGTTATCTCCCAATGGTCTCCATTCCTCAAAATATTTCACAAAAAACTCATTGCTAGTTCATGTCATTTGTAGTTCACTAAGATGCCTCTTAAAATCTATCAACAAATTATATCTTATGAATAATTAATTGTTCATTCCGCTACAACAGACTTGTTTTAAAAAAGGAATAAAAAATAACTTAGAAAACAACCTGTGTCTTCACCAATATATTGATTGCATGATATCTATTAAGTAATTAGATAAATATTTTCAGATTAAAATACTTTCTTTAACTGTACCTGAGAGGGTATGGAAAGATGCATTCATGGTAATTTTGGTTTGGTTATGTGGGCTTTTTTTGGCAGAGAATTAACACTTTTCATTCTAGCGCCTAGTCTGTTCTACTTTCGGATTTTTATGCATTCACACATTACTGCTACATGTAGGTTGCAGCCCAGGAAGAGAGAAATATTAAAAACCCAATTGAAAGAATTTCCAATGCTATCTCTGAAAAACTTTGTGGTTTTTTGTTTTTTTTTTTTTTGTAAGTTCATAAAATCTCTTGAAATTGGAACTTAAAAATACAGTAATGATTCTATATGTAAATTATTCTTTAAGGAAACACCTACTGTCAGATGGTGAAGCAAATACATACTTAATAAGATAGTGACATTTTCTTATCCGTACATTTACAGCTTTTTTATTCATATTGGCACGTTTTTGACAATCTGCTAAAAAAGCACCTAAGAGATAATAAATGAATCACAGTCTTTTCTCTCCTACGTTAATATATGTTGCAAAGTCATTTTGTAATCTAAAAAGTATCCTGAAACTCAAGTGACAATGGATTTTGAAGAGGCTTCCAAAGAGTGTAAGAGAGTGCCCCCCCTGAAAGTTTTAACTGTAATGAGAGGGTTTTTAAAAAATTGATCCTTGTAAGCAGCTCATAAGAATACCTCAATGTGTACAAGTAAAATGAATAGATACACCGAAGGTCTAATCCCACTGGCTGCTACAGCTTGATGACGTAGTTTCAGGTAAAGATAATACAAACGTCTCAACTAGTCCTCAACATTACCATGTAGCTTTAAAAACAAACGTAAGAAACACTTTATTACTGCTGTACCTGTGGTTTCCTTTATCTTGGGGATCCGATGACATCCTTCTCTCAAAGTGCCGAACAGTGGTTCAGCATTAATTGCTGAATGCACAACAGGCACTGTCATTCTGTGACACACGGCTTCGGGCTGCTGGTGCAGGTCCTTGTATGTCGTTCCATGTTTTGGAAGAATGGCAGCTCTTTCATCTGCTGGAATATAGGCAATGCCCTTCATTGATGGATCAGAGATAATGTGCTTAACATCAGAAGTACAAAGAGGAGATTCAACAGGGGTAGCACACGTGCTACTGCCTGTGCTGCATCCTGCATCCACTGAAGAGCACTGAGAGCTTTGCAGTGAGAAATGGCCTTCACTTTGCAGAGATGACATGCGCTTAGCCAAGTGATATTCGCAAAGTCTAGCCACGCTCTGCTCAGCTTCTGGAAGCTTTGAAGGATGGTCATCTGCAGACAAATCAGTATCTTCTGCATCATTTAGGTCTTTGGCTGAAGACACAGGAGTTATATCTGACAGAAAGTTTTCACCTTGGCTAAGCCCCGAGGTATCATCCTGATCCACCTCAGGATCCACTTCATCCTTGCAGTCAGTTTCTGTTTTACCAAGCACAGGAACTCTAGGAAATGTCTTCCCGTTCACTGTTTCTGAGCTTGGCTTATCTGCTGCCCCATCATCATCAGCATACCATCTTTGGCGAAAGGCAGTTCTTTCCACGTTAAAAGTGCTTAGGCGTTGACTGTCTCTTGCTGAAAGAGTTCCAAATTTAGCTTTTAGATCTTCATCAGTCTCTGCTTTTTTAGTTCCTTGTGGCTTTTTCACAGTAGCATTACCATCAGAGGATGCTTTTACTTCGCTGTCTGTCATCTTATTTTTCCTTTTACTAGTGCAAGAATATACCAAGGATCCCATGTGCAATTTACTAAAGTAATCAGTGACAGATTTTGTTTCCATGGTCTCTGGCTCCATTTCCATGTTATCTGAATGAAGAATCTGCTTTGAAGGCACAACTTTTGACTGTAGCTCTGCAGCCTGACGACCAGCCAAAGGCTGTGAGGGCTTCATGCCTGGCCCTCCAGCCTGATTTTTAGCCATGGTAAATTCAGTCTGCTCTTCCACAAGGGGTTGGTAGCCTTCACTTGTGGTCAAAAACATACGTGCAGTGTTTTCTGACTGTTTCTGTGCCGCGGCTAGTTCAGAGCTTTCAGTCATTTCAGAGGAATTTGTTTCATTGCCAGAATCGGAAGATGACTCAGGACTATATGCTCGCAGGATAGCTACACCTGCAAGCCACAAAAAATAAAGAGTCAATTAAATGACAGCAGCTGAAGCACCTGGATAAGTGACAAGCAAAGGGGGTGTGTTAGAGACAAAAATATGCTTTGTAAAAATACGCTGACTTTATTGCACAGTTCCCGGGACAGGTAGTTTAATAATGTAATGGTAGTTCCATTAAATATTATGGAATATGATGTATGGAAAATGATGTGAAAAAAAAAAAAAAGAAGGAAAACCAAAGGAAAAAAACCAACCAACCCTCATGAAATGAAGTATTTCCAAAGCTAAATGGATGAGATGAAATGATTTTCAATGAATAAACGTAACTATGGTGAAAGAACCTGAATTGTCATTCGTCTGCTGTTCCTCTGAAGCAGCCAAAGCTTCTAGTGCTTGAAGTGTAGAGACTACAGCATCATCTAGCCCCTTCTCACACTTCCCCTCTGTATTAGTAGGGACAGCATCGATAAGCGACACTGGAATGTCATCACTGCCTAGATTATTGGCTTGCTCCTTGTTGTCTCTAGGCTGTGTTGCTTGATTATGAGAGTCTTCCTCATCTGAACTGTCCCTGAAGCCAGGTGGAGGAGCAGCAATGGCCATGTTTAAGGTATGCAATAGGAAATCATCTTCATTATCGTCACCTTCAGGAGGTGGAAGTGAAGTCAAATCAATAATGTCATCACTAGAACCAGAAAGGCTGAGAAGAGCAGGCCTATTGATTTCTCCTACCATAATGTCTTCTTCACAGCTTACTTCATCTTCATCTTCAGCATCATCTGTATTTTCTGCATAACAAATATCATGCAGCAAAGGCTCTTCTATCCCCTCCGCAGCTCCAAATATTTTACCATCATTTATAGTTGCGTAAACAGCATTTGTAGCGAACTGAATGCTTTCAGCATCTGGTGACAACTCCAGGCCTTTAATGTCATTGGCATTACTAATATAAATGGCTCTTTGTTTTTCTAATACTTCTGGACTTTCATCCAAAAGCCGTTCATAGCCAAGAGTCTGGGGACTGATACCATCCAAGTTGTGATCTCCAAATATGAAGGAAACTTTTGCTCCCCTCGGGGAATCCTGTGCTTTCTTGCTTGGTTCCAGACCTGAGAGTGACAGCAGTGAAGGCTGATTAAAATTTCTGCTTTCTTCTGCTTCAGTGGTGTCACTTTGCTTGGCCAGATGCTGATCAAATCCACCTGAATTATATGCATTTTCTATATACAGATGTCTGTGTTCTTTTTGACATAATAGACTTTCAGAAACATCTACAGTCTTCTGTTTTGGATCAGCAAAGGGCATTTGAGTCTCCTGATCTCCTTCAGTCAGGAAAGTGGTAGTTTTTGGTATACAATTCCACTCAGAAGCAAGGAGATTATGCTTCCCTCTATTTTCATTTCCTACAGCATGGTGAAATAAAATCAGCATTATGAAACTGAAGAGCAAAGTCACATTATTTTTAAACGACTTGTTAATGCTGAGCAATAAATACTATGAATAGGACAGCTGAGCCATCAAACACTTCAAAAGCACTTTCAAACTCACTTCTAAGTTAAATACATGTTGATTTAATGACCTAAAGTTTAACTGGTACATTTGAACTTTAGCACAGAACTAAACCTCAGCTAGGTACAAATGCTATTCCAAAAAGAGTAACACAAATCCAAATCAATCAAATTCTGGTTTCTCCAACATTGTAGGTATTCTTACAAAAGATATATGCATATGAAATAATAACATTCATAGGGAGCATGCATCTGTTTCACCACAGTATGGAAGAAATTCGTCACCTGATTTATTTTGCCATGAATGTGCTATAATAGGCTGAATATTAGAACATTATAAAGCGGAAATTACATACTGTGGTGCTAGATCTGAGCCAGCAATCAGATCTCAGAGGTGCACCAACTTAAGCTGGCTTCAGGTTTATACACTGGACCATCATCAGCATACTGTACAATGAATACCTGTTTCTCGGCTCCCTGTATTTTTCTTGTTGGCCATGTTGAATATTGAGCGCCTTGAGTCAACCAGCAGTCTGTAGTATCCAGCTGTTAGGCAAGCAAGATTCATTGCATCTGATGACTCCATCAATAGAGTAATAGGCTAAGAAGAATACAACCAAGTCTTGGTTAAGGCTGTTCCTCCTCAATCTGTTTATCTGCTGACAATAATACTACATGGAAGCAAAATGAATCACAGCACAAACACCACATGCAAAAATACACATGAGAACTTATTTTCCTCACTACCAATATCAAACAGCATCAAACATTTAGAAAAGACTGGAGTTGCAGTAAGATAGAAGTCCAACTGGATGTTCTAGCAGCTGATTTTGTTCTCTTTCTGAATGAAGCTAACCATTTTAAGATTCTTGCTCCATCTTGTTCTTGCATAGATACATTCTCACCAAAGCACAGTTTACTGTTACTTTGAAACTGCCAAGGGCTAAGAACCTGGTTCATTAAGCGCCGGAGTCTTTCAGTGGTATGGGAATCTGCAACCTCCCAGAAAATGAGATGAGGTGCCCTAAGTACATGTAAAGAAGCAAGATACAGGAAGAAAAAAATCTAATTATTTAGATAATAACTAAATTAATATCTAAATAATTAGATAAAGCTATTATTACATAGCAGTGACAGTGAATATTTCAATGACAGCTCAAAAGATTTGTTTGTGGCCTGGCATTACTGAAAATATGTGATGAAAAAATATGCAGATAAACAGAGATAAAAAGAACGGCGAAAGATCCTCAGAAGGGAGATGAGCGAAGAAAACAAACTCAAAGCATTCAGAAAAAAATTCAGACCTAACAAAAATGAGAGCTTTGAAAAACTGTGGCTGCCAGACTAGCAAGCATCAAACCTGAGACATCCATATGAAACGTATTTCCTTTAATTCCCTTTTCTTTTACCACAGTATATAAAATTATTTGCCTAAAGCTTTTGTTCATGTCTCTGTAGCTTTTAACACCAAAAGCTGCTCCTCTCAAATTTATTTGAAGGTGGCTAGCCTCTATAGCTCCTAGAGAGGGAATAAAAATGAAGCCCATACCAAGATATATATACAGAAATTACACTGTAGACAACCCATCTTACCAGTCACAGTTTATAGTCACAGCTGTGTGGATATTTGTGACAATTTATAATAATTTAGCATGCAGAGCCCACTGTCACAAGACAGATGAAGGGCCCTGCATAATTTCTTATGGCAGGAATGTTACATGCAACAAGGACAGCTATCCAAATTAATCAACCCCTTACTACTTAAAAGACAACTGATTCTGATGGAGGCTGTGGCCAAAACATAACTGATGATCATAGCTTACTACCAAACCCATGATAGGTCTGACAATTTTTTTAAATGCCTGTGCTACAGTATCTTAGGCCAAAATATGCCAGGTGCCCTGAATATTGTGTGAACAGTTTTCAGCATCAGGGTAAAAATGATGCATTTTTTTTCCTCTTTGAAGTTTTTTGTGCTACAGTTTGAGTTCTTTCAATACATGCTTCTTTTAAAGCACTCAGTCATAGCGGTGAAAGTTAACTATAAATTATTAAACCTGAAATGGACTTACTAACCTCTGTTCTTCCAAGTGACTACTAAAAAATAACACTTGAAATGCTAATCTCAAATTTTCTGCAGTGATGGACAGAAATGTATGATCTTCACAGAAATCTCAGATTGCTGAAAACAGTGCTGTGAGCTATTGTTAATCTCTTATACAGTCCTATGACAGCTAAACTATTACTGCCTGCTTCTGCCAAGTGATACATGCTTGAGTATACATTAAAAAGAACCAAAAATAAAATAAAAATCCTAACTGTTTATTCATTTATTCATTATGAAAATATTGGCATATCCAGAATCTGCATATATCAACCTGCTTCCTTAGGGTAAGCGAAGAGATGAAAGCATCAGCTGAGAATACCTACCTGTATGTGTTTGCATCTCCTCAACAGGACACAGTAACAACTGTTACTTGTGCCCCACAGAGAGGCAAATTTTTGTTAAATTCCATCCAGAGCCTCCTAAATTTTGGAAGTGAAAAGCCAGTCTCCCTGGGTTTAAGATGACATGTGTTGAAATGCAGGGAGACGAGATATACGTGGTTTGTAATAAGACAGTAACAGTATTATAATATAAAATTACATAATACCATGATAATATGTAACGCCATGGAACACAGTTCTGCATTTTACATACAAGCAGATGGGAAGGATTTAGTTTCTATGCTACCTTCTCCATACAAAAAAAGGTGATAACAGCTTTCTGATAAGAGGGCTATGAGTTTAGCACAGTAACACAGGTAAAGTAGCCTGAGAGATCCACAGGTGTTCTCTCTGCTAAGTAAGGTGAAAGAGATGCTGTGTTCACCAACTTCTACATTTCTCTTAAGTTACTATCAAAGAGCATCTAGATTAATTTACAGCATTTTTTTTTCATTAATACAGGGAAACTCTTCCAGCTCAATAAACCTAAAGCAAAAGCTTAAAAAAAATATTCCTTGTGTGTTTTTTTGTATAGCTGGGTAAACAAAAAGAACTGTTAGGCTCTATTCATTTTAATAGAATACTTAAGTATCAAGTATAATCAGGACTCTCCCTTCAATCTCTGATTATCCTGATTAATTCTGTAGACAATCTATGAAGCCTTTTACTTCAAAACCAACTAGAAACCACACCAAGAGGAACCAGGAAAATAACACATACAAAACTACAATCATTATGCCACTAAATGCACAGATGCAAAGTGTTAAGTGGGATTTAAGAAAAATTAAATTACTATAGGTAGATAAAGAGCATCTGTGAATATATGATGTAGCACAAAGCACTGAACTGGAATTATATGGGCTAAGAAAAGAAATTAGCCTTTTTACAGCTTATTTCATTGGTAACTGCTATGTGGCTACTTGCAGTGAACTTTGCAGATGAAACACTGAATTACAGGGGACATTGATCTTTTGAAGCTGGTGATTCTCTAATGGCAATAATATAGTCTGTTATTCTAGAAGGAGCTTCTAGGGGCTTCAAAGAAGGTCAACTTCATCATAACCTCTTCTCACCAAGGAAATCAAGGAAGACAACAACAAAGTGAGTTGCCTGGGGTCAGCCAAGAGAAAAATCAGAACAGAATATGAGTACTGCAAAGCACCAGTCTGGTACACCGTAGGCCTCTCAAATTCCCAAGTCATACTATACGTGCACTCTGAACACAAAAGAAGTAAAACACATCCTCCGAATATTATTGGCATGAAAATGTTCAGAACAGTATAGCTTGATCAAATACACAAAGGCAAAAACATTATTTAAAGATGTTATACCAATATAAATCAACCACAAACTTACTTTTACATCTAAGACGTGCAGCTCAACTCTAACATTGCTTTCGTCTTCTGTAAACATCTCAATCCTGTTCACATGGCTGAAGTCTGCCAGGAGAGCCACCAAGTTTGTTTTGGTGTTTATCACATGACTGATTCCATACCGTGGCCCTACTAACAGAGTCACTTCTGAACGCTTTTCTCCCTGCTTTTAGCAAAAAAAAGAAGAAAAATAAAAGTAAAAAACATGATAGGTACTGCATAGTGGCAGAAATTGCCACCACCTTCTTTCATTTTCATGGAGCTACATTTGCATGCATTTCTACAGTAAAGATTATTGAGTTTTTCTAAGATATAATACACAAGAACATACTTGATTCATAATTAGAAACAAAAAGTAAAGGAATCTGCTGCTGGATATTGACTACACTCTAATTTTTAGATGGATAGTTGGATGGAGAAACAGACGGATGGATGGATCCTGCTTCTCATAAAAGAAAATCTTTGTCATTAAGATTTTCCAGGCTAATACTTTTAGTATACTATAGTTAACTGGATGGTGCTATTTGCCAAAAAGATGCTACCTATCTTTAAATCCCCAGCAAAATTGAAATTATAGCAGGAATGTTATTTTCAGGATGAAAAAAAAAAAAAAAAGATTTGGCTTAATTAACAATTTTTTTTAAGTGTATTAATACAGCCCAAACTTCTAAAGAAACTGATATATTCCAGCTTCTGCAAAAAGCATCTGGATTAAAAAAAACCCAACACAAAACCCAAGAGAAGAGAGAGGCTATTTCAAGGGAGATATTACCACTAATATTGCCTTGAAAACACGGCCTCCATATAACCGTAGATCACTGAGGAACTTTAGATAATGCACCTTGGCTTGCAGAGCAGACAGCTGAGGAAGGAGAAACAAGGGTAAGAGGCAGTGGCAGAAATCAACACATTACCAAATCCAGAGAGAAAAATGTATTTGCGTAGTCTAAGGAGATTGGACTTCAGTAACAGCTCTTCAGAGCCTGAAACTAAATCATTAGATGCTTGAGTTTCAAATGAGGAGAGAGAGAATTTGCATTCTTAAAGATCTTGCTTGTTTAGTTAAAATGTACTGAGGACTTGGGTATGGGTGGATCAGAGCACTGCAAAAGCATTGTAACTGCTCCAACTATGGGAAAACGTTAAACTACTCAGATTAAACATCTGTTCATTCAGGCATTTCAAGGCTATACAGCAGTTTTCCATTCATAATCACCATTAGTTCTTAAACATTTATGTACCTATACAGAGAAAGAGAACAAAGAATTTGATAATTTGCTTTTGTCAGCTATGTGTATTACAACCCTAATTATTCTATGATTCTATGATTCTGCTAGGCACTTGTGGCTTATGGCATACTATTCCACCTCATTATTGCATTTCTTATTTTTTAAAATAACTTTCACTGTATTTAGTAAGGAATAAATCTGAAAGCTAAACACAGTACATCAATACATACAATCATACCATGCGATACATGTCACAATTTATCTTTTTTCCTCCTCTGAGCTTAAACTACCTACCTAAAAAGAAACAATTTGGAAATATTTCATGAGACAATGGGAAAAAGAAACAGTTCACCCAATAGCCCTGGTGTAAATCCTTGTGTTGAGACTTTTAAAAGATAAGACAAGCTCATCTCATTTGCTCTTCTCATTTCAGCCACTAGATTTCAAATTCAGAATCTTTTTTGACCTTGAACAGCATTTTAAGAGCCTCTATCCTAAAATTTTTCTAGATGCCAAGGAGGAAATGGATCCAAAGCAGAGCAACTAGTGGTAATGCTTTCCTTTTCCTTCCATCAGGTGTTGAGTTGGTGGAGAAATACACAGGGGTTGTGAAAAAAGGGAGAATCCCTTCATGTGGAGGAAGAGAAGACCCCAGAAAGAAATCAGTTCCAGCATTAGTACCTCCAAGTGAGACAGAAGATGATGTCAGGTGAGCTGAGACACTTTGATTCTGAGACCTACTTGCTAAAATAGCAGGTGGGTGTACAACATGTTTCCAAGGCTCAAATCAAAAAGAATGAAGCAATACCAACAAAGTCTGCTTGCTTCAGGAAGGGACTGTTCCAACCTCTTTTCTAACCAAGAACTGATACTGTGTGCCACTGTCAACACCTGCAAGACCTGCAGCAGTGATGGCTTCAAAATAACCCCAAATTTACCCTACCAAAATAAGCAATAAGCAATTGGCATTATGTAGCTTTAGCTTCAGCTGTACAGGAGACATGCAGTGCTTCAGTCAGAAAAGGTGGCCTTTCTTCTTGACCATTGCAGGTCAAACACATAAAATTACATTAAGAGTCATGATGTGATCTGAAACCTCCAAGCAGGATTTCTGCTGATCACAGTGAACCTTAGCTCAGTCACCAGGTTTTTGAGTTTTTTCTGCTCAGAAACAAAGTGTCATGAAGCATTTTATGCCTCAATTAGTCACTCTCAGGTTCTTTTTGTAGTCCATGGAGAGAAATCGGCATTTCTAGGACACAAGCCATTTGACCTATTTTTGGTTCCTAATGTGGGATGGGATGAATGACTCCCTATAAGTGCCTGTTTCTCCCAATTGACTACATAGAGACTAAATTACTTGAATACAGAAATCTCATTATGGTGTCTAAAACCAGCCTCAGCTGTATGCGTGTAAAAAAAGCATTTCCCAGAGACATTGTCTTCTCCATGTTTTTTCCAGCTGAAGTGAAAGCTTAATGCTAAGAAAGGCATTTTACAACAGCAAGGACGGTCAGTTACTGTAAGGACCATCATCTATCCAGTCAGATCTTGGCCAGCGAAAAGTCTGTATCTACAGCGTTATGGAAAACAACCTTGAAAATCAGTATTTTTGTCAGGCCCATAGGTTAATGTGGTTCACATGAGAGCATCAGAGAGAGAGTAATAACTTTCCTAACGAGTCTGCCATTAATAGGAAACACTAAATAAATTAATATGTATCCTTTGCATACATGAAGTATTAATAACTGGTTTTCTGGCATTCTCAAGATAAGAAGATAGTTTAGTTAGGGTATAATTAATTATTTTTAATTGTTCTTGGACATGTTGTACTGAGAACAAAAAGTTAAATCTCTGAAAATATAATGGCTAGGTGTTTCTTCGAAGGATTCATTTTAAATGTTTCCCATACACGCCACCCTTTCTGTTCTTTAAAACATATTCTCCATTAAGATGCAAATTTAATACCTTTTTACCCGGAGGAACTAGGTTTTGATTTGCTTTGACAAGGTGTGAAAGTGCTTTCTTTATGTTCTTTTCTTTCATGCTTTGCAGCACAGCAGATGGAAGAAAAGTCTCTAATCCCCATTCTTTTCTGCAATAAAAGGCATATATTTAATTTCACATTCCTGTGATGATTATTTGTCTAAAGACTGGTGACTATGATGCCAAGTGAATGAACACACCTGAAAACAGAAGTAGAGTTAATCAAGTCCAGTTTAGTAAGAACACATTATTTTCTATATTCAAACTATGTATTACATATGAAAAATATTTAAAAATTATGTATAATCTCTTCTCCATTCCATTTCTTCCCTTGTGCCATTCAGAGAAGAAGCTTTTAAGTTTTTATGTTTAAATTCTATGCTGTTTTAAACACCACTTAATTACACAGGCAAGTACCATCACTGAATTAGAATCACAGAAGTTTCAACAACATAATGTCAGTTTTAATTTTATTTTCTAGGCTTTTTTTTTAAACATGCAAATAAGCCAAACATTGTCTTTGTCACTTAGTTTGTGGAGATTTTTCTCCTCAAAAACAACCAGTCCCTCCCATTTTACCAAATTTCCTTTTCTGCTTGAGGCACCCTTGCGATAGAAGACTCTTTACCTGTAAGTAATTATTTCTGCTGATTCATTCATAGTGTACAATATAACATGCTTTCCAGTAAGGTGGATAAACTTTACAAGATTGAGTGTGCAACATTTGCTCCGATTATGCAAGCAAACCAAGTAACAAAAATAAAAGTTTAGGGATTTGGGGTTTGTTTCTTTCATTGTTTTTTGATTTGTGGGCTTTTTTTTCTTTTTAATCCAAGCAGATGTGCACACAGTCGTTTTTTGGAAATTTGCTTTACTTTGTAATGACATATACGTTTTGTCTAACATGAAACAGGTGCCTACCTTCCATATACTTCCATATTTAAGAAATCTTACAAATGGAATCTAAGACCCTACAGTCATCTGAACCAAGAAATCACACAAATCTTACTATAAAATGGATTCAGACCACATAAACTTAGATTTGATCATTAAATCATTGAAAGCAAATGAGCTAATCTTATTTACATTTACAGGCTATAAACAGATGACCAAAAGATAAATGGACCAAAAGATCCACACATCTCTTAACACACCTGAATCAATTCCAGCAATTGAGATTGAACCTAAAATTGGTGAATGCATATAGACTTATTAAAGAAACAACCTTAAAGGATATGAGCTACTCCTAATATTTCACTGTCAAAGAACACACTGCATTCTCAACTTACTCTATATATTTGAGAGAGATTTTCTGAGTTTGCTTGGTGGTCACAGTTGCAATATACATTTGTAATGCAGCCAGCCTCAGGGCAATGTCGTATTTCAGTTCTGGTCCAAACCTTTCCTGAACCACGTCGTTACAGCTCTGCCAAAGAACCAGTAGAGGGAGCATCAACTTAAAAAATCTTTTAATTAACATCGCACGGAGAGTAGCCCCAAACTCAGAAGCAGGACCATCCTGAAGGTAACTGTTGCTCTTAGGATATGGGCACTTCTGAAGAACAGATACTCCTGCCAAGGAGCAGAAGGCATGAGCATTTTGGTTTAAGCTCTCTTCATCCTTCCTGGGGAGAACAGTAATCCTCTTTCAGAAAGAGGGCTGGGAGGGTATCAGTGTATCTGAGTTCAGGATTCTACCTGGTGAGATACCCAGGAGAACCACATTGCTTGTTCATCAGTTTTCTCATCCATTTTACTGGAAGTTCCTTTTCAGACATCATTTCTGTCTGATATTACAGTACCAGAAATAAGTATTAGCAATTAGTTCAGCCTCACTCTTTTCTAAGCCAAATATATTTTGGAAAGGTATCAAAGCATTACTATTTGGAAGGACTTATGAAGAAAAAGGACTTTGCAGATGATAAAGGTTTGCACATTCCCCAGCTGCATTCACTGGCTTTATGCAGTGGAAATAAAACCCAGGATTTACTCCAGCCACACTTTTCTATGTGAAGATATAAATCTATATATACACTGATTGTAACTATCTTTTTATTCACCTTTAGACTAACAATGGCCATGCTTTCACTTACCTGTACATAGAGATATTCAAAAGCAACTGGATCTCTTCTTAAAAGATCAATGGGGTCCTTTGGGACAAAACTAATCCTGAAAAGACATCTCATCTTATGTGAGCTTGGCCTCTGGGTCACCTAGGACAGTGCAATAATCATTAGAGCTTGGCAACCCTGACCGAGCAACACAGTCAGTAGTCTCAGGTAATGTGAGCCTGCTCCAGAGCTATGAGGTAGCAAGAAAAATAATTCTACCCAACAAAGAGCTTTGCCACAGGCTCCTTATTAAGTTCTTTACATAAGGACATCATATATGTAATCTTACAGAAAAACTTTTAGAGTCACATAGGCATGACTGCCCAATACAACTCATCCTCAAAGCAACACAATTCACTCATTCAAAACCAGAGTGAAAGGCCAGAGAAAACAGACCTTAATGAAAATCAACCAAGTGAAACACAAACTGAGCTGTGCTTCAGCAGGACCAAAATACCCATAAATAAGAAGGGCTAGAAAATTTCTAGGGAGAGGTCACATTTTACTTCTCAGACTGACTGATAATACAGGTGAAGCACAGCTTGGCAGTTATTATTCTCACTTTCTCTCTCTTGTTTTAATCCACCAGGGAATTTGAGAGAAATCAGGTCTTCAGGTCTTTTTTCTGGGTTGTTCTGGATTAAGAGATCCTCCCCATGACTTCTGACCAAGACAAATCTCTCCCAATACATTAAAAGTTTAAAAAGACTGCTTTGCCAGATGGTCAGCAAAACTTTGTCAAATATTTAAAACGGTAATCTGGGTATGTTAACAGGGGATCGCTACACAGCTAATGAATAGTCAGATGAAAGGGTAACAATCCAGTAGCACCATTGTAAGTCATGGTCAGCAGCAATATTATAATGGAAAATTAAAGTACCGATGATTTTAGAGGAACTTCGAAGAAGACACCCTCAGAATTAATGTAGTTTATTTAATTAGGCTAATGCCATTCAAGAGTTAGCATACTTTATAATCAACATATTTAATTGATAGAATTTTACTTTTAAAAATCTCCAATGAAGTCTCTGTCTTACCTTAACAATTTTTAAAAGTACATTTATCTCACATTGTCTCTGACCTTATTTCTAAGTATCTAGGCATACTCTGTATGTATAAATAAAAGCTCCAGATGGGATTTCCAAAAGCTCACTGTGTTGGTTTATTCTGATCCTTCTGATTTCAATGAGAATTTTACCAATTACTTCAAAGAGAGACAGCTGGCCCAGGAGAGCTAGTACTGAGTACTCTGGATATTATCACTAGGTATATCCACAAGAAAAGAATGTTTGTTAATATGGCAAAGTCAAGTGCTTAAAAGTTAGAAAATGCTAGAAAGACTGACAGCTGGTAAACTAAGCTCCTTCATACTACTACACAGACTTATTATATGATCAAGGGAATCCTGTTGTTTATACTAAATTTTTTTTCCCCATCTAAGAATCCATTTCTCTCTTTTTTTTTTTTTTTCCAAATTTAGGTGAAATTTTAAAAATACTAATGCTCTACTGAAACATAGAAATATAATGGAAAAATTTAGGCTAAACAGTTTGGCAAAATGCAATGCAGCTAAAATCAGGGTCCTCTGC